CTTTAGCATCGCATGATCTATCGTGCCTGTGTGCCTTTGTTTTAATGTTTTTGATGAGGGGAGATTTCTGTAGATATGCGATCAATAGTCAAAGGGGAGATTTGAGAGTTCGATTTTAACTGTTGAGGCAGAAATTCCAAAAAGAAAACTCCAAGTACTGACATGCTGAAGACGTTTCTAGGAAGCGTGCGGGTACCCCGTCCGCTCCGAGATTCTTTACCCTGACAACTTTTGGGAAAAACGTGGTCGGAAAACAAAGGGGGGGGGAGGTCGAGCGAGTCCAGGATAGTAGGTAATACACGGGGATTGCCCAAATGCGGGAATGCCTTTGGTGTTTGCCGCGCAAAGAGAAAAAAGGGGGTGTAGCCTCTAGAGGGAAACCACCTTTAACACAGTTTGGTGTGTAACTATTAAAGTTAATGGTTTGAAATCTGTCAGAAAGTGTGTTTCAGTGCGTGAGTGGTTGAATGTTTTGCGTGGATGTGTTTTTTTCAAAAAAATAACCCTAAGGAGGGAAATTTGTTTTAAGGATGGTTTTTGACATTTAAGTGACCGCTCCCAAATCTGAGAGGGGAATGGTTGTTTGATAAAAGCAAACCACTCGTTTGTGAGAACTTAGGAGGAAGGGGGGGGGGGTCGCGTGGGCGAGTCAGGGGGATTGGGGGAGTAAAGGGTTGGGTTTTTTAGGGGTAATGGGCCGGCTGAAAATGATGTTAATATTAAAAAATACTTTTGTTAGAGATGTCTTAGTATATTTTTTTGAGGTCCCTGCCGAAATTACAGTGTCGGGGGATTGGAACTGGTGGTGCGCCGAAAGACGCTGAACCGAGGGGGGCGGTTTTGTTTAAAATTTTGGGTGACTTGTTTGTCTGGGCTGGGGTTGGTAGATGTACCGGGGGGACGTGACTTAGGGTTTTGAGCATACATTGTGCGGGGCTAGCATCATGTTAGATAGGGTGTATCGCTCGCGGTGGTCGTAATCAATGTGCGGGGTTTTTGAATGTTTTTTTATCCGACCCCCGGGGGATTTTGTAGACTCGACTGGGGGGGTCCCCCGAATCGTTTAAGGGATACTGGAAATTGGGATACACATGCTACAAATGCAGTGATAGGGATTCGTGGACTTTGGGGTCTAGGGGAGTAGACTTCGGGGGGGGGGGGGGGGTTTTAGTACACGGGGGGATGGGGTTTGTGAACCCTCGAATTAAGAATTTTTATGGCAGGGGGAAAAAGAGGCCACCGCTTGGGTATGGTTTCTGGGGTACCTGGAGGTCATCTAGACAATTTATGCGCAGGGGGAGGCATCTGGGGTTTACCCAGTGGATGAGATCGACGCTCTTAAAGAACAAATCCAGGTATTGAAAAATAAGGTTTTTGATGGGCGCGCATTTCGGGTGGGGTGGAGAGGCTTTGTGGAGTGACAAGCCGTCTGTCTGCTTGTGTCCTTACGAAGTCAGACACAAAGGCAAAAAGCGACTGAAATTGTGAGTTTAGTGGTGCAGGATGAAGTTGACGGGTATAGTGAGGGACAGGTCTTAACAACAACTGAGGGGATAAGTTTTTATGTTGATACTTGGAGTAAGCTCCAGATGCAAAGTAAAGACGTTAGTGAGCATGTGATACAGGAATTGGGGAGAGGAGTACGATGCGAGTTAAATTATTATGATCGCCTTCTCATGGGTGGGCCAATATCTGAGGCCGAGGTGTGGGAGGCACTACAAGGAATGAGTAAGGGGAAGGCTCCAGGCATTGATGGCATACCCTTGGAATTTTATATCAAACATTGGGAGGTAATACGGACTTTTATGGTTCGTTTACTCAATGCGATGAAGGCGGGGGGAGGGGGGGTGTTAGGTCTGTCTCAGTGTACAGCAGTGTTGGTCTTAGTTAGGAAATGTGATGTGCCATTAGCGATTAAGGACTATCGTCCCATATCGTTGATGTGTAGTGACTATAAACTATATGCGAAAATTTTGATGAATAGAATTAGAAAGTGTTTGATAAGGTAATCCATAAGAGTCAGTTTGGTGTGCCAGTAGGTCAATGTATGATGGTCATGGGAGTATCAGGGAGTTTGTTGAGAATGCGGGGTGAGGGTGGGGGTGGTGTTTTGGCTTAGACTGGCGAGCTGCTTTTGATAGTGTGGAAAGGGAGGTTTTTGTGAAATTTTATGAGATGGCAGGGTTTTGGAAATGAGGTCATCATGTGGGCCCGTTCGTTGTACAATGGAGCAGGATTTAAAGTACAAGTTAATGGCAAGTTAGGTGTTTTTGTACACTTGAGCAGGGGCATTCGTCAGGGATGCCCCATGTCTCAAATGCTTTTTGCATGTATGCAGGACCCTTTTTACTGGGCTGTTTGTGGGCCGGGAATAGAGACATCGTGGGGTCCGAGTAGTGGTCGACCGACCCTTGTGGGTTATGTAGATGATACTACTGTGTTATTACGTTCACGGGAGCAATTGGGTTTTGTTGAGAGACTTGTTGACATATTTGGCAAGGCTACGGGGTTGTGTGTAATAGAGAAAAATCGAAGATTATGGAGTTGGGGGAGTGGGTGGGGGATGGGGTGGATGCAGAGGGGTGGACTGTGGTTGATCGTATCACTATATGTGGTATTCATTATATGCGGGAGGTTGATCAGATGAGGGAGTTTAATTCGAGGAGGGTTGTACATAGTGTCTTGGGGCGCTTAAATAGTCTACGGCCGCGACATTTAACCCTGCATCAGAGGGCGGTGGTCATTAATGTCCTACTTTATAGCAAAGTGTGGCATGTTGCTGCACTGTATCCTCTGTTGCAGGGGGACGTCAAACGTCTTTTGCATAGAGTTTATCGATTTTTGTGGGGTTCAGGTTGCGATTGGCTCACAAGAGCGGTGGTGGAGACATCAATGCATCAGGGAGGGTTGGGTCTCATTCCTCTAGAGGCTCGTGTCATGGCATGTTACGTGAAGCGTCGTTTTCTCCGACTGGGTGGGATGCATGGTGGGTTAAGTGAATTGTATCATGACCTGCGCATGTGGTGGAGAGGGAGGAATTTAATTAGGTGCGACACGATGCTTCGCGTATTATTGCACATGAGGGACGTGCGCTGTGTAAAATTATGTACCTTAGAAAGGGCGGATATGGAGGTAGTCGTGGTGCGAGTTGAAGGAATGTATCCCATGTATGCGCGGGGTGATATATGGAGGCGAGTTCAACAGTTGCGTTTGCCTGCTCAAGTACGGGAAGTGGTTTTTAAATTTTTACATGGAATCTTGCCGTCCAGGGTGGTGTTGTATAATAGGCGTTTGGGGGAAGCCTGGGGTTGTCCGGCGTGCGGGATGGAGGAATCTGCTTTTCACGTTGTGTATTTCTGTGAGACTTTAGGTATGGTACGAGAGTGGTTCAGTAGGCCATACCCCCGGCCGGGATTGAACCCGCGGTCATAGAGTCTCAAAACTCCAGCCCGTCGCGCTAGCCACTGTCATTACGATTTCTTAAGTCAGGTTCAGTAGGGTTTTGCGTTTGGTGGGGGGGGGGAGGTTTGTCGGTACTCCGGGCGTTTAGTTTTAATATAGGTGGGGTTGACTTGCGTGTACAACGTGCGGTGTCGTACGTTGTGGCCGATTATATTTTCGTGTCATGGGCTATGAGGCACGTTGATGGTAACAGTAGAGTTAGGGTTTTAGCGGGGACGATTTATAGGACAAAATGTCGAAATAGGTTGGTATATGAGGGGAGATGGGAGAGAGACTTCCCGCCTGAATATAAAGCCTTGGAGTTACGAGATTTGAGATAGTTGTGAGTGTTCAGTGGGTAATCTAACGGCCTGGTCAGCTGTGTCTAATTGTGTTTGTCAAGTGCGTGAATGTTTTGTGTTCTCAGAGTTTATGTGAGTCTTCTATGTAACGGTGATGACGATATATCTTAAGGCTTTGTATATACAACTTTTAGGAATGTTTTTCGTAATTTATGCCTCAATACAAGTCATTGGTGTACATTTTGTATATGGTGTGCTTCCTAGCACAGTTGAACGTTTTCTTATTTCTGTTTATACTTTATGCCGTGTTCGTGTGCTTTTCAATAGTATATGTATCTATGCAAGTATTTGTTTTTCTGTAAGCTGTGATGTAGCTTGAACTACATGTGGAGGCAGTATTTTTCAATGTTTGCCTCTCGTCAGTGTATAAGTTCACTTGTAGCTGCTTCCATTGTCTTTTCTTTGTGTTTATTTGAGATGTCAAATATCACAGTGTAGTTTCGTTTTTGTTATATTAGATATTTTCATTGTAGTGAATGGTAGCGTCATCCTGATCCACCTTTGAACTGTAATGCCTATTTTTAGTCCATGATAATAACCCCGTGGTAGTCGCCCAAATTAACGTATTGTTGTGCTCTTTAAGGCACCTGAGTTCTTAGATTAAGTCTTGGATACGTTGTGTGTTGGCAGGCGGAAGCCACGCCTAGTAATATGCCAGATGTTGTATCATGTTGTATAATACGTGATTGCTTGTGTATGTGTGTAATTTTGTGTGCTCGTTTTTGTCACATTGTTTTTTTTTGTATAGTCTTTATATTTTCAAGTGTTTTGATTTCATTATTTATTATATAATAATAATCTTGTTAGTGCCTGGTATCTCGTTGACATATTATTTTATGCACCCATATCTATTTTGTATCGGAGTTTTAAATAAAATATATAAAAAAAATCAGCAATAATCGAGAACAAGCCACACAAAATGTAAAACAATCACCGAGGGAAATGAATAATAGCTCTAGGCCTTTCATGTTGCAATTAACACATCATCAGGAGCTTGCAGTGTTGTGAATGAAAGAGTTCCAAGGCTGAACGAACTTTCAACTAATCAACAACTTTACAAATCATATCGATTTTTCCTGATTAATTACTAAATCTTAAAAGAGACTCACACCTTGGTGTGGTCTGTGTTCTTCAGACATCTGGTATAAAGTTTGCTCTCATATTGTGGGTTAACTATAAGACACTGTTTTTCAACAGAGACAGCAATGGGACGCAGTATCAACGCCCAAGAAGACAGTGAATCAGAATACGTTGAAGCTGTGAGGAAGTAAGTTTAAGGTTGCAATTACACTTTTCTAACGAAATTTATTGTTTATCAATCCTTTACATTACTGAGTGAAATATAATTAGCGCAACAATGCGCTCATTATATTTCCTCTTTCTAGGTAACACCGTTGTGTTTAGGTCACGAGAAAATTCTCATTCAATAGTAAATAAATATCGCAAATATTGCCTGCTGGAGATCCTCCTCAGGCGCTGCTAAACTAGCTGAGAAGAAACACTTATATATAAGAACTCGCATGTCAGGTGCACAGGGAAGAGGAAGCCAGCATACTGGCTCTTGCCTGGAGGCTACTCTAATGTTAAGCTTCACTAACTATAACTACACAAGTACTTTTCCCATATTATCTATCCAAGTAATTTTATTTAAATGAATAATGAACTTTTTTTATTATTATTATTATTCGCCGGTACTCTCCCGGCCCGGGTCTTTTCCAAGAGTGGTGACCCGGCCTTGGCTCCCTATCTGGGGAGTGTCTCGAGACGTAAGTCTCCCATGGGAGGAGGTACTTTGCTTTTCAGAACATTTACGCAGTCTTCAGACTAACTTTTTGTTGATCAGATATCTTAATAGTTTGTAAAATTAATGAAAAAAACGTATGAAATAAAGGTTCATCGTTCTCGTTCATGGTACTGAACTTAGGAAAACTCTTAATTAAAGTAAATAGCTTCATCTTCCTCTGCTGTGTGTTGTTAAATCCCATCGGAACTTTACTATAACAAAAAATAACTGTCTGTCTCTGCACTTATCTTTAGAGCATTTAAAGATACTAAACTAATAAAGACGGTGATTAAAATTTACCTAACCTACATTATACACTTAACTTATCTCAACATAAAATCGGTGAATTTTTATTAATCACAAACAAAGAGTATCTGACAAGTTTGCACAACACATTCCTCGAATCACACATCAAATTTCTAATGATGATGACAGACTCACAGGTGAGGATCCAATATGGGTGAGGGCGAAGTGGGGACAGACGAAGAATAGCCGGTTAGGGGAATAAATGAGCCGGGGTTAGAACCAGCAGCAAGGCATTGCTGAGCAGATGTATACAGCGATGTAGAAGGCACGAGAACTCAAGATGTGCAGGCTGAATCATGAGCATTGAATATATCTTGAACGTGATGGTGATTGATGGCTGGAGATCGGCAGGAAGGCAGGAGAAAGATGAGTATGGCAGCTGCAAGGTGATTGGTGAGAGGCGTCATCTATTTCTTGATTGGTGGATATTTCTTCATAAGTGTCTTGTTCCTACTATTTTCCAGTCGTGGAGCCGTTTCGAAATCTTTTGTATGATGATTTTGGTAAGTGGGTAATTTTTACATTGGTAGTAGAGTCGGACTTTAAGACATAATGTTGTGCTATGAAGTCATTAATACGACGTTCGTGTCCAGGAGCAAACGTATACTTGATGACTCCATGATGAATTCGGTAGTTTGCGTCTGGCCCATTCAAAGACTTGCAGTGTGGATCATTGGAGTAGAAGGTAATTTGTTGAGTTTCTTTCATTTCTTCGTCGTCTTCGTCTTCATCGTCTTCACCTTCGGTACTTTGAGATGCTTGAGGTGAAGATGGTTGTATTTTGGGTCTCTTGGCTTTTGGCTGGCGCAGTTGAGGTGACGTGTAGGACTGGTCAGTTTCAGTGGTAGGTGAAGTCAGTTGCTTACACTTCTTGATATAAATTCCAGCAATCGATTTGCCTTATTACGCACGCTTAGGCATTGCTGTCTTGGTTTAAGGTTGCTGCTTACCATAACCACCAAATCCTTTTCGCATTCTATACGGCTAAGTTCAACATTATCAAACTGGTAGGTGCTAGGGTTATGGACATTTCCGAGCTTTAGAACTTTACATTTATCTACACTGAACTGCATCTGCCACTTTTCTCACCACGAATTGAGTTTGTCTAAATCCTCCTGAAGTTGTGAGACATCAACGTCTGAATCGATTATCCTACCTATCTTCGTGTCATCAGCAAATTTGCTTATGTCACTAGTAATTCCCTCGTCAAGGTCGTTTATATATATTATAAAAAACAATGGGCCTAAAACTGATCCCTGCGGAACGCCACATGTAACAGATCCTCACTCAGATTTAACCCCATTTATGCGCACACTCTGCTTCCTATTAGTGAGCCATGACTCGATCCATGACAGCATTTTTCCCCCAATGCCATGAGCAGCCACTTTCTTCAACAGTCCCTGATGTGGTACTCCATCAAAAGCCTTACTAAAATCTAAATAAACAATATCGAATTCTTTATCCTGATCAACGGCCTCAAAAGCTTTGCCGAAAAAGGTTAATAAATTAGTTAGGCAGGAACGGCCCCTGGTGAAACCATGTTGAGTATCATTAATCAAATTATGCATATCGAGATGGCTTCTTATATTATCAGCTATAATTGACTCTAGTAATTTGCCTACAATTGAGGTAAGGCTTATTGGGCGGTAATTTGACGGTAACGACTTGTCCCCTGCTTTAAAAATAGGAATTACATTAGCCATCTTCCACATATCAGACACTACACCTGTTTGAAGAGATAAATTAAAAATATTAGTTAAAGGTTCACAGAGTTCCATTTCACACTCTTTAAGAACCCTTGAAAAAAGTTCATCAGGGCCCGGGGATTTATTTTGCTTTAACCGGTCTATCTGCTTGATAACCATTTCGCTGGTGGCTGTGATATTGCATAATTTATCATCTTCAAGCCCACTATAAAAATTAATTACTGGGATATTGTCAGTGTCTTCCTAAGTGAAAACCGAGAGAAAATAATTATTAAGAATAGAGCACATTTCATTCTCCTTGTCAGTAAGATGCCCAGAGTTATTTTTAAGGGGACCTATCTTATCTCTGACTTTTGTTCTATAAACCTGGAAAAAACTTTTTAGGTTAGTTTTTGAATCCCTAGCAACTTTAATTTCATAGTCCCGTTTAGCTTTTCTTATCCCCTTTTTAACGTCCCTCTTAATGTCAATATACTGGTTCATAAGATGACCCTCACCTCTTTTGATACGCCTATAAATTCCTTTCATCTGTCCTAAAAGATATTTGAGCCTATTATTAATCCATTTGGGGTCATTTCTATTCGATCTAATTTCCTTATATGATATAAATGTCCTTTGGGCAGCATGTATTGTATATCAAAATGGTATACAATACCGACAGGTTGATAGGTAAGACACATAGGCAACAGTTAGGCTACTTTATTCCGAAGCGTTTCACCTACACAGTAGGCTTCTTCAGTCGAAGACTGTAGAAGCCTTCTGTGTAAGCGAGACGTTTCTGAATAAAGTTGCTTACTGTTGCCTGTGTCTTATCTACCAGCATATATTGTGTTAAGAAAGCTGTCATACTGATAGCTCTCTTCGTTACTCCAGTCTACAGATGATAAGTGTTCTCTAAGCCAATCATTGTAATCTGCTAAACGAAAATCTGGGACCATTACTGAATTATCCCTACTATCATACTTCCATTCAATGCTAAAGGTAATTGATTTGTGATCGCTTGTGCCGAGTTCCTCTGTAATTTCTAAATTATTTACAAGGGCTTCCTAGTTTGCCAAAACCAAGTCAAGCAGGTTATTTCCCCTAGTAGGCTCTGTCACAAACTGCTTCAAAAAACAATCCTGAACTACTTCTAAGAAGTCGTTTGATTCTAATTTCCCAGTCAAGAAATTCCAATCAATATTACTAAAGTCTCCTAGAATTACTACATTATCGTGCCTTGTGGCCTTAACAATTTCCTCCCATAGTAGTTTCCCTTGGTCCCTATCTAAGTTTGGGGGACGGTATATTACACCTAATTAATATTACGGTATATTACACCTAATTAATCTTTTTTTTGTAATCATTATTACTTACTAAAATTTTATTAAACACCATATTTACCAGTCAATTTTACTTTTGTACATTAATCATTATTTTATACTTTTCATAACATTTTGTTGCCAAATTTTCTAGTTTGTATATTCAACTCCAACTTTTATATTATCCTTTGTACTTGTGTACCTGTGTACCTGTGTACCTGTTTACCATCTTACTATCATATTATAACCAAGTCATTGTCATTGTTATTTTTTACTTATTATTCTTTTGTACTTTAATTTGTGAATTTTATTTTGTCAATTTAAATCTAGTTATACTCTTGTTCTTGTAAACAACTTATATCAGACCCTAGTGCAATTGCAAGTACCATTTTAATTTGTATTTTTATATTATAAGTTTATACCTAGTTGTACTTTAGCTCATTCTAGCTCAATACTTAGACAACACTAAATTCATTATATTAGACCTTAGTGCAATTACAAGAGTGAGTCTGGTGCCACTTGTAATTTTTTTTATAGTATTAGTTTATACCTAGTTGTACTTTAGCTCATTCTAGCTCAACACATAGACAATATCAATTTCAATATGTTTATTAGTGACTATACTCTATATGACCAAAGTGCTTTAGCGGTATACTTATCCAAATCTCCCACCACTACAGAAATCAGAATTAGAACTCACCACATAATACAGGATATAAACAACCACTATTTAAACCTAAAAGATGAATGATCACTTTGACCCTGATCTAAACCTCCATAATCTAACACACAATCAAAACTTATTGGAAAGTAACTGCCTTTACTACACAGCATCACAAGCCAGCACTACCCTGAACACTGCTCAAAGTCTATCAGTTCTTAACTACAACGACAGGTCCTTAAGCAAACACTATGATGACCTCCTGGTACTCCTTGAGTCACTAAAGACACCCTTCTCCTGCATTATTCTCACTGAGACCTGGCTTAAGCAGAACACAATAGATATCTACCCACTACCAGGATACACAGCAATCCACAACTGCAGACCATACCAAGTTGGGGGTGGTACTGCTATCTATTACTCTAACTAACTATCTTGTATAAGCACTAATTTCTTTAGTGATGAATATGGGGAATACATTTTTGCTAATTTTACTGTAAAAAACGTCAA